AAATTCTGTCACATTATATGGAATTTGAAATTCTGGGTGAATTTCCGAAATCATTTATATCTGATTTTGGTTTGGAAGGCGGGAAAACTCTATATGAGGACGATACACGGATACAGTTGATTGAAGTATAGGGCAGTTGATGTAAACATCGTCACAAAATGATACGAAATCGTAAATGGACACGTTCATGTTGAAGTTTAAGGATATTGGTAAACCAAAAAAAATAACGTGTTCAGAAGTTCTGGACATTAGCCACGTGACCCATACTTCCATATACACGGCTCAGAAATACAATTTATTGTTTTTAGGCACTATAATGTAAAAAATGTCACATTTTTGTGACTGTGTTAACCATAGCTGCCCAATTAGCATTGTTTTGGTTTAAAATATAGTAGATTAGGTCATTCTAACAATTATGATACAACATTTGGCTAAAGGGCAGGGATCGAACGGTTTTAAGGCAATATTTCGTAAACTCAGAATACGATACCTCTTTTCTACTGTGAGGTGTCCTCTACCAATCATAGCCCTAAAATATGTTGTTTTGAAAAGTTAGCAAATACATGCACTTATTGGGAAATGATGTAAATTCTGTCACATTATATCATGTATATGGAATTTAAAATTTTGGGTGAATTGCCGAAATCATTTATATCTGATTTTGGTTTGGAAGGCGGGAAAACTGTATATAAGGACGATGCACGGATAGAGCTGATTCAAGTTAAGGGCAGTTGATGTAAAAATTGTCACAATAATAATAAGGGCAGTTGATATGAAAGAAAATCTATCTAACTAATGCAATGGCTGATGTGACGAAAATTACATATTTTCTTGACCCTATTTTGAAGAAACATGCCTCGATTAGAATTCAATATTCTTCCAGAAATTATTAGTAGGTTATTATTCAGCAAATCAGAACTCAAGTTTAACAATTCTGAGTTTAATTTTACTAAGTTACCGAAATGTGACGAAATTCACTTTTCCTGCCCCAAAAGTATAATTTCAATGTGATGAAAAATGGGCATGGGTTTCTATATTTCCTTATCTCTGAATTAATCATTTCAAACTATAATTAGGACTGTTGATGTGAAAGAAAGTGTATCTAAATTTTACAATGACGTATTTGACAAAATTTACATTTCTTGACCCTATTTTGAAGAACCATACCCCGATTAGAATTCAATATTCTTCCAGGAATTATAAGTAGGTTATTATTCAGCAGATCATCAGAACTCAAGTTTGACAATTCTGAGTTTAATTATACTAAGTTACCGAAATGTGACGAAATTCACTTTTCCTGCCCCAAAAGTATAATTTCAATGTGATGAAAAATGGGCATGGGTTTCTATATTTCCTTTATCTCTGCATTAATCATTTCAAACTATAATTAGGACTGTTGATGTGAAAGAAAATCTATCTAAATTTTACAATGACGTATGTGACGAAATTTACATTTCTTGACCCTATTTTGAAGAACCATACCCCGATTAGAATTCAATATTCTTCCAGGAATTATTGGTAGGTTATTTTTCAGCAAATCAGAACTCAAGTTTAACAATGCTGAGTTTGATATCACTAATTTACCGAAATGTGACGAAATTTACTTTTCCTGCCCCAACAGTATAATTTCAATGTGATGAAAAATGGGCATGGGTTTCTATATTTCCTGTATAAATCCATTCCAACTATAATAAGGGCAGTTGATATGAAAGAAAATCTATCTAACTAATGCAATGGCTGATGTGACGAAATTTACATTTCTTGCCCCTATTTTGAAGAATCATACCTCAATTAGTATATAATGTTACTTTATCACCATCACTATGTCGATAAATTAGTTATTTTGCCAACACGGAGCAAATAAAGTTATAATATTTTTTTTGTGACGAAATTTACAAATTTTTACCCTGTTCAGGTGTTGAAATTTATCCAATGTTAACATATCACTGCCATATAATAATTTATATGACCGGCGTATGGTTGGAATATTGTTAATTGATCCATAGTACGTAATATAGGGTGTTTAAGTTGGTATACTAATATTTACTCAATTTCACACATGTTGAGATATCATACAAATTTATGTGACTAAATTTACCTATTTCTGCCTTCTGTATTTGTATTTGCCTATAACAATGAAATATGTGAACAATTCCAAACACATTCAGCTCACAAAATAATGCTAGACTATTCGGCATTTCTTGTCAGGATGTCATAAACATCCCTCATATAAATTTCTTAAATGTGTGACGGAGTTTACATGGTGCTACCATTTAAGGAAAAAAGTCGCTAAATATGTAGATAATAGTCATATACAGCTATTCTATGAATTGGAAATTCGAAAATTTGGTCAAACACGGCAACAAGGGGTCCATATAAACTCCGTCACGTTTTTATAGTGTGACAAAGTTTACAACTCACTGCCGGCCGCATTTAAGCGATATCTTATCGTCTGATAAAGATATCGTTATGCGACAAAGTTTATCTAGAGGATGAAACGATTATCTTAGGGTTAGAGGGTTTATATAGTTTTATAGTGTGACACATTTTACATCATCGTGCCATTCAGTAGGGTCACTAATATTTACCAATATCCTCAAACTTCAATGAACGTGTCCATATATACGTAAAAAATAATATATATTATTTTTTATTACATATAATATATGAAATTTTAACCCGTTTTATAGCAAATAGCAAATGCAGCGATTTCGATTGATTGGCGGATGTCAATTTTAGACAATTTTTTGTTGCAAAGATATTATATTTTAAGCATGTAGGTTCAATCTGTTAATTGGGTCAGCCTATTCAGAAATATATGTAAGTGGTAAGGAATAAATGAAAAAAATTCTGAATTCATATATTGACATTCTGCCTTCCATGCATATCGTATCTTAATGACAAAAGCATTAAAGCTGCAACTTCTCTACAATGAATTGTTCGGTTGATCATTAACAATTTGAATACTGCACAAGTTATAATTCAATTCCACAAGTTATGTCAAAAGCTTTTGTCAGTGTCATACAAGCAGTTCCTGTAACGATCAATCCAGCTCCAATGAGACACAGCACGTCAGTTTCTGCCTTGAAAATAAATATTTGCACCAAATAAGCCATGACAGTGTCGCAATTTCTAATTAATGTGGCGGTGGCAGATTTTTCTATTGCCAAACCTTTGTTCAGGCATAGATAGATTGCTACCGACAGTAAACCACAGACTACCAAGAGGGATCTCTCCTCGAAGCAGGAGGCGTTTACAAATTCTGCTTTGGAACCAGTTTGATAGACCACTCCACCCGTTAGCTGGCATATAGCTAGATAAAATGAAATTGTGATGGGACTAACAGACGCTCCAGCTATTCGCGAGCAAACATAGGACCATCCCATGAAAGCTGCTGTTCCTAAGGGAACCAGGACATACCACCATGGGGCGTCGCTGGGGGTGTCTGTAGGGAACAAAAATGTCGGTTTTGCTATGAGTACAATCCCTGCCAAGCCAAACACAGATGCAATGATATGTCCTATTGTGTATTTCTCCTTCAGATAAAACCTTGCTATGATGCCAGCAAAGAAAGGTGTTGTGAAGATAAGAGCTGTTGCATCACCAAATGGGAGGTTTTGAAAACTCCAAACTTTTGCCAGAAAGCCCATACCGCCCAGCGTGCACCTCATGAAAACAAACTTCTTGAAAGGGAAGGCACGCAGAATAGTTCCGTAGAAGTTCACAATGACTGCAAAGAAGCAAAGAGCATAGAATGCTGTTAGCATAACAGCTTCTCCAGTTGGAATGCCCTTTAAATATTTAAGGATTGCTCCTTGGGTTGTAGCTAAGATTGAACAACAAAAAATCAGAGATATCCCATAAATTCGCCTTGTTATGCTAACATTTTCCCCAGGGTCCTTAAATATGTTGTAGCTTATATCATCATTTCCCTCCTTATTTGCCTTTTCTGAAATACTTTCACCATTCCTAGCAGTTTCAGAACTGACCTCCTCATCTCGGTCCACAGCATTTGTGTTGATTATAACAGTTTCCCCGCTATCCTTAAATCTGTTGTATTTTATAACATCATTGCCCTCGTCATTTGCCTTTTCTGAAATACTTTCACTACTCCCGGCAAATTCAGGACTGACTTCCTCATCCCAGGCGACAACATTTGCGTTGATTATAACTGTATTTAATTCAGTCATTATAGTCCACCTGTGAAGTAAACTTTAACAAACTTCCTAATTTATGGAAATATTCTGCCCCAGTACTTTGTGTTGAAGATATTTTGGTTCATATACTGGTCTTGGTTTTGGTTGTGGTTTATATGATCTTTAGGTTATAATTAAACAAAATTTCAACTGGATTTAATGCTGACTGTTTAAGTTTGGGTTAAGGTTACAATTTGAAGAGGTATTATGGAAAGGGCCAATATTCTTCAGCTCAAATCATTGGAGCATGACAACATTCAAAAACAAAAACCAACCACAAATTATACACTTATTCATCAATTAAAATGTAGTATAGCTGTCAGTGATCGCAACACTAATAAAAGACAACGGAAATACGCTATGATGGAACAGTGCAGCTAGAAAATATCGATAGGACTAGCAAAAATTATGCAGAGGATTTTGATTTGATCCATTTCCCAATTTCCATTTAGGGGTTCAGAGGCACTGATAACAGTTATCAGGTAATTAAATGAAGAATTCTTCCCATGGATCACACATTTTTTTCTGGTTATTAGGTACTACCCATATTCCTTGCTTCATCATGTGAAATTCCATCCTAGAAGAGATTGAATTAAAATGTATATTATAATTGTATGGATTTTTCTTAACTGGATTTTTCTTATCTTTTGTCTACTAAATTGGCAGAGCTTATCCAAGATGAAGTTAATCATACTAGACTTGATGAAACACCACACTGAACCTGTAAAATCATTCTGGAGAAGTTGAAAACCATTTTGGAAACTTGATCCTTTGTAAAATTACTTTTATAAATGAACTTTCCACAGCTATATGAACATGATAAAGCCAACGTCCGCCAAGTCAACCCTGATATAGTTAAACCTGCTCTTGAACTGATCGAATGACTACTTTTCATGAAAATTATGATGTATTTGAGGAGCTTGGAAAGTAAGTTATTCAAGCACTATACCAACAACAAGTCTTAATCAAATAAGGAATTGTTTTAACTACTATTCTCTAACATAATTTTTGAATAGTGTTATTAATGCATAATACAGGATTGCCTGGTCATCCTCCCCAGAAGTAAAGGCACTAGACAATCGGACAATTAATTGGGTTATCCTGTAAAAAACATAATTATTGAGTACAAGGTATATGTTAAGGTATTCTGTTTGATAAAATAAGGTGTATTTTGTTTCAGGGGGTCGTTCAGTGTAGTTAAACGCTGTGCTCACAAAGTGACCAAAGCAGAGTACGCAGTTAAGATTGCTCATGTCAGCTACGCTAACGAAAAAGGTAATGAAAAAGGTGCATCTTTAAACTATTTCTTTTAGCTATTTCAATTTTTCATTTTTTAATTAAGTCAATCAATCAAAAATTTGATGAACAAATGAATCCATTCACTAACAAATTATCGACCCTGTTCACCGTTATTTCACCTAGCCATTAGAAGGATAGAGAGAGAGGAGCGGATTTGCAGGAAACTGAACCATCTGAACATAGTTCAACTTCACAATGTGTACACTGAACGGGAAACTAGGTTAGCTTCCGAGCTTCAGTAGTAGCTTCCGTGCTCTTCCAAATCTTGTGTTTTCAACAATTTCCTTATTCTTTATATAATTCATTTTGTACTGTGCAGTGTGCAGGTAAAATTAATTCTAATAAGTGACATATAATTCTAAATATGTAGAAAAAGTTAAAGAATTCGATGGATGTTTAATTTCGATAATAATTGTCAATATTTTAACAGATCAATTAATTGACATATTAACACAGGTATCTGATATTTGATCTTGTGACTGGAGGGGAATTGTTTGAAGAGATCTGCAACAGAAAGTACTTTTCTGAGGCTGACGCTAGGTAGGCATTACTAAAATTTCAACATAAATTGGGATATATATTTCTGAAGATTCACACTTGTAGACGGGTCTGTTATTTCATCTCGAAACTATTCCAATAGTGAAAGGAAAACTATAAACCAAAATGTTGACCAGTTTTTATAAACATGTTTTACCTCATAAATAATGAATAAGTCAAAATGCCCAACACATACCTTCAGATCAATCTAACACCCATTAAATCTCAGTAAGAGTTAAATAATATGTAGAGAACATTAATATCCACGAAATTGTCTTCATTTAGTGCGAGAGTAATAGCATTTTGAATTTAACACTATATTGTCTAACCTAGAGAGCCGATTTAAACAGAGTAAAAGCTCGGTGCTTAAATGTCGAGGTATTTATTGGAGTGACTTCGTAATGAGCCCCTTATAAACAGCAGAGAGAGAGATAGAGAGAGAGAGAGAGAGAGAGAGAGAGAGAGAGAGAGAGAGAGAGAGAGAGAGAGAGAGATAGAGAGAGAGAGAGAGAGATAGAGAGAGAGAGAGAGAGAGAGAGAGAGAGAGAGAGAGAGAGAGAGAGAGAGAGAGAGAGAGAGAGAGAGAGAGAGAGAGAGAGAGAGAGAGAGAGAGAGAGAGAGAGAGAGAGAGAGAGAGAGAGAGAGAGAGAGAAAGAGAGGGGGGGGGGGGGGGGGGGGGGGTGCGAGGAAATTGTGGGTTTAATGAGGCGGCGGGAGAGAATCTGAGAGTAATTTGACAGGAACAGCAGGTGAAATTAATACTTTCACTTTCACTTTCTCTCTGTCCAGTGTGTGCATGCAGCAGATCTTGGAGAGTGTACAGTATTGTCACAGTATGAACGTAGTTCACAGAGACATCAAACCTGAGAATCTTCTTCTCTCCTCTAAAAACAAGGACGCTAAGATTAAACTCGCAGATTTCGGGCTCTCCGTGGAGGTCTCCAATGAGAAGACCTACTGGTTCGGTGAGTAGCAGAATTTCATTTATTATTAAATCTGTTTATTTAGTTTTTTTCTAAGAAATTTACTACGAGGTCAGATGTTCAATAATATTCAACCAACCAATGATTTAACTCGAGTAAGTATTAATAAATAAAGTAAAACTATATATAGTTTATATATAAACTATATAAAGCAGAATATGGATAAATATTCATTAAACCCATACCGAAATATAAGGATCTTCAGCTGCTGCTGTAAAGGAGGCAGAAAATTATACCCTCATAATCCTAGTTGTAATATACCCTTATGAGGATAAAAATACAGTATATAAAAGATTATGTAAATTAATGTTGAATATTGAATTTAGATGTCATAATAAAAAACATAGAACCATTCAATGCAATTATTCAGATTTTTGCCCATGGTAGGGGGCTTGCTAAAATTAATAGCTCGTGATATTATGTGGATATGATTATTGCGTAATAATTTATTTTTAATTGTAGTTGACGAAATGAGAGTCTCCACTCAGTGTGTTAAAACATAATTCTTTGTCGACGTTTCGGCTACATGCCTTTGTCATAAACAGGACGTACTGAAAACTTACATAGCTGCAAAGATACAATGTTAAAATAATCTATTAAATTAATCTATTAATACTACGAAATATAACAACAACAAATAACATCTTGAAACACAACAACAATCACAAATTTATCCAAAAGAAACATAAAATATAACGGCTAAAAGAATCCAAACCGCAACAAGCCGTGAACAATTCTTCATAATACTACAAACATTTTACCAAGATAGCTCCTTCATAAAACTGATTAATCAAAAATTATCTATGTTTATAAGTTCAATATTACATTAACTTCCAAGTATATTTTATCCAATCACCTTCATTTACGGACTCAGACAATTGAGTATTTATTTCTGGGTTTTCACGTTTTATTAGAACCGACTGCCACAATTGACGGTCCACATAGTCTTTACATCTTTTTCGAACTATAAACCGAAACGGTATGTTTGGCATTGAAATGTCTGCATGCTCCTCTAGGTAGTGCTTCCCCATGGCCGTAGATTTGTTGCCATCCCTTACTGATTTGTAGTGTTCCCAGGCTCTACTTCTTTTAAACCTACCAGTTTCCCCAATGTAGGACTTATTACATATTTGGCATATTAATTGGTAGCAAATGTTTTTGATCATGCAGGATTTATCGCACTGGTAGCATTTGCTGTCACTTTGTTTATTGCATTTTGTTTGCTGTAGGCTAGATCTTGTTAAAGCTTCCATGAGACGTTGACCTGATGTGAATGTTACCCTGGTGGAATCCAAGAGGTTTTGATTTCTTAGGGTATAGTAGACTTTTCGACACGTCTGTTCATTTATATAAGGTAATGATAAGTAAGCTATTTTTGAGTTCTTTTTAGGCGCATTTTGTTTATCCAGTGTATTCTGTGTTTCTCGAATAAGTTTCTTGACAATATTAGGAGGGAAACTATTCTTCTTTAGCATATCAGCTATTCTGTTGATACTGAGATCTTGTAGTTCAGGTGTGGAGCTGTTATTGATAGCCCTTCTGATCTCATTTTTGGCTGAGTTCAGAATCGTTCTACGAGGGTGAGCAGAGGCATAATTTAGGAATATGTCCTGGCTGGTTGGTTTAACAAATAAGGAAAAATCTAACCTCTTGTCCACCGTATTCATATAGATGTTCAGGTCCAAAAATGCAACACAATCTTTGGAGCACTCATATGTGAACTGTATATCCCTGTTCAACGAGTTAATGTAGTTAAACAGCAATAGTACTGTGTCTTCATCTCCCTCGATTATGCTGAAGCAGTCATCTACATATCTATCCCACATATCTATGATTGGGAGTCCTACTGGTTTGGGGGGAGCTTCTGGTATGTAGGAATAGTCGTTCTCCATCAGAGGCAATTCGATTGTACAGTAAACATAGATTATTGCAAATGGTGGAGCTGGTTTCACACCCATGCCGAGTCCATTTAGTTGTTGGTAGAACTTTGAATCAAATCTGAAGTATCCTGCCTGTATGACTGATTTGAGGACCAAGTCAAAGTCCCCGAGGTCCATTCCATTTGTATCGATTTTATCCCTGTTGTTTTTTATGAACTTTATGATAACTTTGTGTCCTTCTACAAGTGGGACATTTGTGTAGAGGCTTTTCACATCAGCCGTGAACATTATGTGGTTTGTGTTTATTCTTCCCATCCAATGATCTTCTAATTTTTGCCGAAATTGAGGAGTGTTCTTAGTGTTAACGGGAACCAAGTCTAGTGCTTGGTTAAGTATATTGGTAACAAAATGACCTAGTCTTTCCGCTGGTGAATCTACTTGGGATGTGACAGGTCGCAAGGGTGGCGGTGAAATATCTTTGTGTGTTTTCCATGTACAATAAAACTCTGGTATACGAGGAAGATATGGATTACAATGTTCTCCGATCCAAGGATATTTTTGTGTAAGTGAAATTATCAAGCCATCTATATCTGTGTTCATGCGAGGAAGAGGATTTTTGGGCAGTTGTTTGTATGTACGAGTATCAGATAGCATTTCCTCTACCTTCTTAATGTAGAAAGTTTTATCTGAGATCACGAACTGTTTATCTTTATCAGCTACTTTGATTACAATGTCGTCCCTAGCTCTCAGCTCTTTAACTATCTTCTGTTGTTGGTCAATAGTTTTCAGAGTGGTGTGGTGTTGTTTCTTTCCTAGGGCCTTGTCATAATCCAATATAACTGCGGCTTTCACTGCCTGGAGAACGTGTTCTTTGGCTGGGTTATTAATTTGTTGAGGCTGAAATTTGAAATCTTCTGGTTTTCTTAGAAAAAGCGGCTTGTTAGTCTGATCCACTTCTGTAATATTATCTAAGTACCTAGATCCATACGCATAGCGTTCTAATCCAACTTCAACTTCCTTCAGCATCTCAGCTTTCTCTTGTTTTCTAGTGGGCATGTTTGGTAGGGCGAATTTTGGACCTCTATCTAAGAGCTCTAATGTGCCATCCGGTAGGTCGGGTGTTCCAATTACTGTGACTCTTGGTGTGGACTTAGGTTGATTAATAGGTGGTCGTTCCCAGGTGGTAAGTTTCTTTAATTTCTTCTTTAGTGTTTCTAATTTGTCTCTTTCTATAACTGCTTTTATTTGACCTGAGTATAGTTCAAGATAGTCTAGGGAATCTTTTTTGAATTTCGTCTGAGCTCTCGTTTTACTATTTAAATTTAAAATGTATGACAACATATCTTCAAGTTTTCTTTCTAGGTCTTTCGTTATTCGAAATGAATCTTTGATTTTAAGGTTTAAGATGCTCTTCTTCCAGGCTAGGGTGGTCTTAAGATATGCTTGTAGAAATTTTGATGGAGTGTTAGGGATTTTAGGGTTTACCAAATGGTGAATAAATGACGGAATTTTCTTTTCTTTTCTGCAGTTTATGAGGAACCATTGGTTGTGTAGTTGCCTATGCAGTTTTTCAGTTATAAGTAACGTCCCAAAGAGCGAGTATCTCCACTCAGGTGGGAATATGTACTGATAATCTTGTTTTGCTCTTATGAGTGGGTCAATCATTTATTTTTAATTGTAGTTGACGAAATGAGAGTCTCCACTCAGTGTGTTAAAACATAATTCTTTGTCGACGTTTCGGCTACATGCCTTTGTCATAAACAGGACGTACTGAAAACTTACATAGCTGCAAAGATACAATGTTAAATAATCTATTAAATTAATCTATTAATACTACGAAATATAACAACAACAAATAACATCTTGAAACACAACAACAATCACAAATTTATCCAAAAGAAACATAAAATATAACGGCTAAAAGAATCCAAACCGCAACAAGCCGTGAACAATTCTTCATAATACTACAAACATTTTACCAAGATAGCTCCTTCATAAAACTGATTAATCAAAAATTATCTATGTTTATAAGTTCAATATTACATTAACTTCCAAGTATATTTTATCCAATCACCTTCATTTACGGACTCAGACAATTGAGTATTTATTTCTGGGTTTTCACGTTTTATTAGAACCGACTGCCACAATTGACGGTCCACATAGTCTTTACATCTTTTTCGAACTATAAACCGAAACGGTATGTTTGGCATTGAAATGTCTGCATGCTCCTCTAGGTAGTGCTTCCCCATGGCCGTAGATTTGTTGCCATCCCTTACTGATTTGTAGTGTTCCCAGGCTCTACTTCTTTTAAACCTACCAGTTTCCCCAATGTAGGACTTATTACATATTTGGCATATTAATTGGTAGCAAATGTTTTTGATCATGCAGGATTTATCGCACTGGTAGCATTTGCTGTCACTTTGTTTATTGCATTTTGTTTGCTGTAGGCTAGATCTTGTTAAAGCTTCCATGAGACGTTGACCTGATGTGAATGTTACCCTGGTGGAATCCAAGAGGTTTTGATTTCTTAGGGTATAGTAGACTTTTCGACACGTCTGTTCATTTATATAAGGTAATGATAAGTAAGCTATTTTTGAGTTCTTTTTAGGCGCATTTTGTTTATCCAGTGTATTCTGTGTTTCTCGAATAAGTTTCTTGACAATATTAGGAGGGAAACTATTCTTCTTTAGCATATCAGCTATTCTGTTGATACTGAGATCTTGTAGTTCAGGTGTGGAGCTGTTATTGATAGCCCTTCTGATCTCATTTTTGGCTGAGTTCAGAATCGTTCTACGAGGGTGAGCAGAGGCATAATTTAGGAATATGTCCTGGCTGGTTGGTTTAACAAATAAGGAAAAATCTAACCTCTTGTCCACCGTATTCATATAGATGTTCAGGTCCAAAAATGCAACACAATCTTTGGAGCACTCATATGTGAACTGTATATCCCTGTTCAACGAGTTAATGTAGTTAAACAGCAATAGTACTGTGTCTTCATCTCCCTCGATTATGCTGAAGCAGTCATCTACATATCTATCCCACATATCTATGATTGGGAGTCCCTACTGGTTTGGGGGGAGCTTCTGGTATGTAGGAATAGTC